CCAAGTGGCCACCACCCTCTGCACGGCGGCGGGAGCAGAGCCTCTGGGCCGGTCACTGCCCTCCCCAGGACAGCCACCGGAAGGCAACTGCCCTGTGGACAGGGGGGCAGGCAGCAGATGGAGCCCGAGGGCCAAGGCCTGCCCCAGTGTGACAGCCCCAGGGCGGGGCTCAGCCTCTCCGCCCCTCCTCGCTCCCCTGGCTCAGGTTCCTGCCCGAGCGTTGAAAGGGCGTCACTGTGGCATGAGTGCTTCAGGAGGCCGCCTGCTCTTCCCCGGCCCACACGCCGGGGTTGGACACGCACACGGCACACACGCGGGCCGAGGCTGCCTGGCGCTGGCTCCGGCCAGGGCTCCCTGAGGGCTTGTGTGGCCTCTGTGGGCATCCATCGGGCAGGACCCCAACTCTGGTGCTCAGGGCCAGAGACCGTGGGCTGTGGGCGTTCACCAGCCTGTCAGCTCAGGCAGGGCCGGCAGGTGGGTCATCACTGAGCCGAGGGAGCCAGCCCCCTTGAAACCAAAGTTGTCCCTGCTCCTGCCACGGTCCCCAGAGAGCCACACGGGGCACTCAAGCTGCCCGCCAGCTGTCCTGTCCCTGTCCCAAGGTTTGCGTACGGTCTGGGAGGCTCCCGAGAGGCTGAGACTGCACGGGGAAGGCTCTGGGTGACTCGTCCTTGTGACACCGAGTGCCCGTGCGGCAGTCAGACCAGAGGAGTCCCGACAGAGTTCACTGAAGTCCTTTTTATAAAGGCGTGAGTTCAGACACAGAGACGAGGCGTGACCCTGAGGGGAGGCAGGCTGGCTTCTGTCACCCTGAGACACCGTTCTCAGGTCCAGTGGGAGAGAAGGGGCCGTGACCCGTGACGGCGCTAACCGCCCACCTGCATGGCCCTGCAGGGTCAGGTGCCGAACCGGCCACGCAGGCACACCCTGTGATCCGTTGGGCCTGTGGGAAGAAGCTACCAAACTCTTCCCAGAAAACCCTGGAGGTCGCACATGGCAGACAAGGTGGGGAGGGGCATGCGTGGGCTGCCCACCCAAAGCGCTGTCGCCCACCTGTGATGCACGTCACAGGGACGGGGTGGGTGCCGGAGAGGGCAGAGCCAGCCATGGAGATGCCAGAGAGATGCCCTTGGGGAGGCTGCACAGCCCGGGAAGGAAGAGGTGCGAGGGACCGTTCTCCAGAGGTCTCCCTACCTGCCCTCCTGGGCCGACTGGGACCACGTTCCGCCAGCAGAAGCCCTGGGGACGCCCACGCTGCCCCCTCACCTGTAGCGTCCAGCAGAGCCAGGGGCCCGGGCACCGGCAGGGCAGGTGGCTGCATCACGGTGCCCCCCGCTCCCCGGCAGCGGCTCTACTGTGACAGTCTGGGTACAGCAGGAGGGCACCACCAGGAGTGCCACCTCCCCCTCGTCCGCTCCATTCCACTTCTTGCCCTCCTAGCTGGCCCTCCCCTCCTTCCCTCCCTCTCCTCCTTCCCTCCCTCTCCTCCTTCCCTCCTCCCCTCCCTCCCTCCTCCCCTCCCTGCCTCCCAGAAACCGGACTCCTCGAAGGCAAACCCTCGATGGACACCCGCAGAGACTCTGCTGATCCCTGGTCCTTGCGACACCCCTTACAGCTAGCCGGGGCCCAGGATGTTGGCACCTGGGAGCAGCCGGGGAGGTCACCAGGACCTGGGTCCACACTCAGCCCCTGGCGGCCTCAGCAGGTCAGATTGCGGTGGCCCTCCCTGGAGCCCCAGGCCAGCCCTCATCTCGGCCCTCAGGGCTGCACAGGGCTGCCCCGTCCCGTCCGCGTGGGGAGGTGGCGTGCGCTGAGCCCTCACACAGCTGTGGCCCCTGTCCCAGTGCCCAGCCCACTCTGCTCAGCTGGCCCTGGAGCTGTTCTGAATGGAGCACACTGGGAGGGGGGAGGGAGGAGTTCCCAGCCTGTGTGGCAGCGAGGCAGCAAGGCCTTTATCTGGCTCAGGGATAGCTGGAGCTCAGAGCACGGCAGGCCCTAGACAGAAGACGCTGGAACGGCCAAAGCAGGCAGGACGCTCACCTGCCCATAAGCCTGCCTCTCCACCTCGCCCTCATGGCGGACATCAGAGGACGGGCAGCAGCCGGTGCAGGGGAGCAATGCAGCTGTGTCCGGGATGCCAGCGGCTGAGCTGGACAGGCCTGGCGCTCGGAGACAGACAGAGCTCAGCGACGCCCGGGCTGTCGGGCTCCCTCCCGGGAGAAACACGGAGAATAGATGGGAGGGCAGAGGGGCTGGCACCACCAGGTGTGCGGGTCTGGTGGGAGGTGGTAGGGCTCAGACCAGGGCAGGAGACTGTGGTGATGGGATGTGGTCAGACCACGTATGCCGTGCACACTCACCACGCCACGGCCATGCACACTCACCACGCCATGGCCATGCACACTCACCATGCCACGGCCATGCACACTCACCACGCCACGGCCATGCACACACACCATGCCGTGCACACTCACCACACCATGACCATGTGCGCTCACTCACCACGCCACGGCCATGCACACTCACCACACCACGGCCATGCACACTCACCACGCCACGGCCATGCACACTCACCACGCCACGGCCGTGCACACTCACCACGCCATGCACACACACCATGCCGTGCACACTCACCACGCCATGACCATGTGCGCTCACTCACCACGCCACGGCCTTGCACACACACCATGCCACGGCCGTGCACACTCACCACGCCATGGCCGTGTTGCGAGTGCATTGTGCTATGACCTGTGTGCAGGTGTGTAATGCCATGTTGTATGTAAAGTCACATACCCCACGATACTTGTGTGGCTACACCACGCCAAGAAACGGGTGCAGACTCATAAACACCAGGGAATCCAGCGGGCAGAGAGGGGCCTGAGTGTGTGGATGCTGTGGTGAGGCGGGCTGTTAAGTTGGGGAGAGGTCACGCCCAGGAGGCACCTGTTGACTGGCTCAGAGCCGACAGGTGTGGGGCTGCCCTGAGGCCTGCAACTCCCTAAATCCTTATCTTTAAAAGTTACCAAAAGTTACAAGTCTTTTTTTTCCTCTTTCTTTCTTTCTTTTTTTTTTTTTTTTGGAGAGGTTTTTGCTATAAGGCGCGTGCCAGACAGACAGACAGAGAGCGAGAAATCACCCCCCAGGGGCGATGGCCAGGCCTCAATCCCTTCTCCTCCATCCTCCTCTCAGGATCTTGGGTACGCACGCACACACGCCCGGCATGAGTTTAAGCCACCAGGTCTGAGACTCGAACCGTGGTGGACTACATGGGAATCCAGTGACATAGCCATTACACTAACTGCTGGTCCCCCCCAAAAAAGTTGTAAGTCTTAAAGCGCAGCATGGCAAAGTGTCAAGACATCATTGAGGCCAGACAGGGCTATGGGAGTGTCGGCTCACCCTACCCTGTCTGCGCAGTCGAGAAAGCTTGCTCCGTTTTCTAACTTTTTGTTCTGATATGGTTTCAAACCTAAAGACAGGTTGCAAGGATGGTGTGAGATCCTTGCAACCCTCTACGAGACCGTACAGTCCCTTCCATTTTCTTTTTTCTCTTCTTTAAAAAAAAATAACTATTTATTTAATTTTATTTATCATTTTTTAAATTTTTATTTTAATATATTTTATACATTTAATCAGTATACATCACTTAGCTCGTGAAGTGAATTTACCCAGCATGAATACATTGCACACCAGTTGAGTATCTTATACTTGCTATCATCCACAGATAGTAATCCATTTGTGTGGGGCCAGCAGGTGGCGTGGTGGTTAAGGGTGCTGGACTCCAATATGCCCTACTGTAGTTCAAGTCCCGGACCTGGTGGCTTGCTTTCTCACTTGTCCTCTCTCTCTCTTTCTGTTTCTCACTCTGTCCCTCTCTGCTCAGATGTAAAAAATAGATAAGTAAAGTTAAATAAAATAATTCTTTTTAAAAAATAATCCATTCGTGTGTCCTATAATGAAGTGAATGTCTTGCTTTTCTATTTTTTCTCCTTGATTTCTCTCTTCACACTCTCTCCCTTCTCCCACCCTCTTCTCACAGTATCTCCAGTAACCGTAATCATTTCTCAGGCTTCTACACCCTCCAATCTTTCAGTTTCTGCCATAGCGTTTGGACAGTATATCTATTAAGTGGAGACACACACAGTCTCTCGCTCCTAACCTGGCTTGCTTCATTCAGCAGTAAACTTTCCAGATTCGTCCACTTTCTATCAGATGCCAGGTCTTGTTATTTTTTAATGGCTGAATAGTACTGCATAGAGTATACGTGCCACACTTTTTCAGTTCACTCACCTGTTCATGGACAGTTGGGTTGGTTCCATGTCTTTGCAGTCATGAATAACGTAATCAACATGATGTGCACGTGCTTTCTGACGGAAGGTTCTATCCTTCGCGTAGGTACCCAGGAGCGGGAGTGCTGGGTCACATGGTTCCATTTGTAGATCTTTGAGGAACCTCCAGATTGTCCTCCATAGTGGCTGGACCAATCTATATTCCCACCAAAAACAGACATGTGGGCCAATGGAACAGAATAGAGACCCCAGAAATAAACCCCAAAACATACAACCAACAGATTTTTGACAAAGGATACCAGTCAATCCACCGGGAAACGAAAACCCCTTTAGTAAATGGTGCTGGAAAAACTGGGTATCCACCTGCAGAAAGATGAAACTGACCCCCATCTTTCACCATTAACAAAAATCAACTCAAAATGGATCAAAGATCTGAACCTAAGATCTTAAACTATAAAACTACTGGTGGAAAACACTGGAGAAACTCTGAGAGACATTGGGGTAGGCAAAGACTTCTTAAGCAAGACCCCCAAAGCACAGGCAATAGTCCTGAAAGAAGACAAGTGGAATTACATCAGATCAAGATATTTCTACACAGCAAAAGACACTGTAAGTATTGCAAGTTGACACCCCTTGGAATGGGAGAATGTTTTGTAAACTATGCCTCCGGCAAGGGACTGATGACCCGAACACACAGGGAACTCAGCGGCTTACCCCCCCAAAAAAAATCAACCTGTGGGGACCCCCTGTGCTCTCCCAGTGTGTAGGTGTGGTGTAGACACCCTTTCCCCTCCCGGTGTGTAGGTGTGGTGTGCAGACACCCATGCGCTCCCGGTATGTAGGTGCGACATGGGCTCCCCCTCCCACCTGTACTGAGGCACAGGCCTGTCTGTGACTTCTCTGTGACCTGGGCATCCTCACGCGTGCTGGCCGAATCCGGGATCCGCTATGACCCGGGCTACATGCTCCCTTCTCAGGCCTCGGAGTGCTCTTGGCTTTGGCAGTCCCCTGGGCAGAGAACACCCAGAGCCAAAATGCGGAAGTGCCTGCCTTGGGCCCCACTTGCTGTGCACGCACACATGTGAATGTGTGTCTATGGTGACCGTGCATGTTTGTATGTACACATGTGTACATGTGTCTCTCTGCAATGACTGTGCATGTGTGTATGCATGTGTGTTTGTGTGCTGACTGTGTGGTCTGTGTGTACGTGTGTGTGCATTTTCACATGTGTCTGTGTGCTGGCTATGTCTGTGTGCCTCCTGTGCGTGTCTGTATGTGCACATGTGTCTGTGTGCCTCCTGTGTGTGTGTGCACACGTGTCTGTGTGCCTCCCGTGCATGTCTGTGTGTGCACACGTGTCTGTGTACCTCCTGTGCATGTGTGTGCATGCACACATGTCTGTGTGCCTCCTGTGTATGTCTGTGCATGCACACATGTCTGTGTGCCTCCCGTGTGTGTCTGTGTGTGCACACGTGTCTGTGTGCCTCCTTTGCATGTCTGTGCATGCACACGTGTCTGTGCATGCACACGTGTCTGTGTGCCTCCTGTGCGTGTCTGTGCGTGCACACGTGTCTGTGTGCCTATGAGTGTGTGTGCACATGTCTGTGATGGCCGTGCAGGTCTCTGTGTGCACGTGTGTGTGCACGTAGGTTGGTTCCATTCAGGTGCTCTGTAAACTTGGCCACAATCTGAGTTCGAGTCCAGGAGGGTCTAATATGCACCGTCCACACTAGTGGCCTTAAGAAGACAGGATCTCTTCAACAGACACCCCACCCACTCCTGGGAGGCTACCCCCCAACTGACCCTGCTCACGTGCCCCATCCACGTGCCCCCAGGTCCCACCAACAGGCCCAGCAGGGCTGGACATGGCTCCCAGCTCAGTAGGCCAGACTCACCTACGTCATCTTCAGGCTGGACAAGGAGCAGCTCCGGCCCAGGGCAGACCCCAGAGCCGAACTTGAACTTGACTGCAGGCCAGACACACCGTGTAGAGCTGGCTGCCAAGGGCCCTCGCACTGGGGTCCACAGCAGT